AGGACCTCAGACTGGGCCGAAGGTTCACCTTCCAACATGACGATGACCCTAAGCACACAGCTAAAATAACGAAGGAGCGGCTTCACAATAACTCCGTGACTGTTCTTGAATGGTCCAGCCAGAGCCCTGACTTAAACCCAATTGAGCATCTCTAGAGAGACCTGAAAATGGCTGGCCACCCACGTTTGCCATCCAACCTGACAGAACTGGAGAGGATCTGCAAGGAGGAATGGCAGAGGATCCCCAAATGCAGGTGTGAAAAACTTGTTGCATCATTCCCAAAAAGACTCATGGCTGTATTAGCTCAAAAGGGTGCTTCTACTAAATACTGAGCAAAGGGTCTGAATACTTATGCTAAAATGATTTTAGCATATGGCTGCAATATAACAAAGAGTGAAAAATTTAAGGGGGTCTGAATACTTTCCGTACCCACTGTATATTGTGTAATATTTAGTTCATGTGTGAGCCAGAGGGTCTAAAAATTGTAAATGAATATCAGCAAATGTAATGTTATTTAATGTATTTGTATTTCAGGGAGGTAGGTCAGTGCACGATAGCACAGACACATCCATGATACAGTATAAGGATTTGCCAAAGTGCCTCAAATTTCTGCTGCAACTATTGAACCAAGTGGATCTAACCTGACATCTCTCTTTTTCACTTTCTCTCACTTTCTCTGTTTGTGTGTGTGTGTGAGAGAGAGAGAGAGTGAGAGAGAGAGAGAGAGCATGAAAAAAAGAAACAGAGGGAGATTCTTCCAGGGATATTAACTGGCTGACTTGTATCATAAGAATAAATGTTCAATAAATGCCACGCAGATTAAAAGTAAGTACTATATGTTGCTACAGCAAACAACAACACAACACCATATCCCTATACCCTTTTCATTCATGCAACCATCAACCAAATATAAATATCTCTAACAAATAAAGCATCCACCTAGGTTAATTATCTGCCATAATTTAGTGCTCATGAGGTATTTTAATATTTATTCGAATCAGCTTAATCAGTATGTCCAACTATTAACCAGTACCCACTGACTGGGGCACAATATTCATGGCCTAAGTTTCTGACAGCTTCAGTGCACAAAGAGAGAGAGAGAAGGAGACCCTGGGGACCAAATGATATGGGCTCTGTGTGTTTGTGTATATGTATAAGTTAACACCAGTTTAATTTATAGCGTATGATGAACAAGACCTACACTTCCATTTTTAAAGCTGTGGATATTAGTAACATAAAACTGAAAAATAGCACATGAGAACAATGCTATTAATCAGCTCATAATAGTGTTTTAACTCATCCAAAACCATAAAACAGCAGCCAAAATACACCTGAATATAGTTGTGTTTTGCAAATATTATAGACAAATGTATTAAAGGTAAATAAGCATAAAACATAGCATAAATAACTGTCTTTGTTCCCTTTTGAGCTTGTGAAGCCTACTGTATATCCACCATAACATACATTTTGAGGTAAAACAAAGTCAGGAAATGCACACTGTAAACCTTTAAAAGGAGTATATATTATATTTTACAAGAGACTTCCACTTTATATTTTATTCAGGAGAGGCTGATGGTTCACTCTTAGAGGGGTACTGCATGGCTGATGAAGCATCTGTCAATTTTCCTAAGATGATTAACCTACGTGGAGCCTATGTGGTGGTATTTTCAAATCAGAAACATCTCATCTTCCATGCATGTCACGTTAGGTTGCACCAGCTGAAATCAGTTTTGATTGCCCAGTCACACATTAATAACAAGTGTTTCACAACTGGAACCATACAACAGACGGTTACAATTTGGATTTAATTATTTTATAAAAATTTTATAAACAGTGCAGTTTACTATACTCTGTGTATTTCATTGTTTTATATGTTCATCTTTATATCTATTTGCTCTCCTGAGGTAACATTTAACACGATTTGAGACTTGCCATAGAAGCAATATAAATATATCTGTTTTTAAATAGATAGATTGAGAGAGAGAGGAGGGTGAAGATATTTGAAGTGTAACAGCACTATCAAAGTAATTTATGAGATACTGTGGGACAGGGTACAATTTTATGTTTTAAAATATGAATGCATATTCCCTCAGGTAGTCCTTGGAAAGAAGTTACACTACCAAAGCAGGAACATTAGCATACTTATGTAAGGACATTAAAATGGGTACAGCATCTTATGAAGGGCAATGCAAACTTTCAGATACCCTCCTTGGATTGGGTTCAAAATATGCCTTATACAACTACATACATCACAGAATTGGGTTTGTTAAATAAATATAGACGTATCCTCTGGGGTGGGTTCCCTCATAACCACATTCAGTCAAACAATCAGCTAATGACAAAAGAAACAAATGAGATTTATGTGTTCAAGTTTAGGAATGACAGCATTTATTTGTTTATTTCGTGTTACATCAATTAGGCTGTGAGAGGTTTTGTTCCTCTGATATCCCTCTGCAGCAACAAACTGATGGGAGCTGTCCTTGGTGCTGACTGGTGTTTGTAATGCAGTTTAAGCTAATAGTACTGTCCAAGGTTCTGAAAGCATTATGGACTCATTTATAGGATTACACACACACACACACACACACATTTTTCCATCTGATTAGTGTAATTACTTATAACTGTTCCTTTGTCTGCACTGTAGGTAGGAAAAGTGCCAAGAAACATGATTACATTGTGGTCGCTGATAGTGGACCCAGTCTTTATTTTCTGCTCATTAGCCTATTAGGGGCCCCAGGATGTCACATTAGACCCAGTTGTGCTTTTTGGTGGTAATTGCCAAATAGTGTAACTAGTAGGAAACATAATACTCACTTCAGAAAATACTGATTCAGACCCCATCACTTTTATTGTGTTGTAGATTTAATTATATCCCAATTTATCCAGTATTTCCTGGCAGATCCCCTCAAGCTTTATTAGATTGGATAGGAAGTGTCTACCATCTTCAGGTCTCTCCAAACACACACACTCTAAATTCTAGAGAGAGCTCATTGAACTTGCATGAATTGTAAGACAGGTTATGAGTTTTGGTTTTTAGTAAAATGATTTGTCATTGTGGGTTATTGAGTGTAGACTGATCGGCAAAAATGTCATTTCCCCCCCTTTCAAATTAAATTTAAAATGATATGGCGCAAAAGTAAAAGGGCCTGGATGCGATTTTAAACGAAGCATCCTTTCGACATAATGCATCACGTAAAAATTATTTAAAATGATCACGTGATATATACCAATATACCCAATCTAGGGAGCTCTGCTTCCGCTTAAAGAGACCACGCATGTGTTGTTCCGTGCTGCAGCGACGTGAATCCGTTCCTCTCTGACCCCAGTGATAATTTGCATTCAGACTGAGGCTGCACTGGTTTTGCCAGCTGCTCAAATATTATAGTAGCTTATTGCGAGGGTCTTTAGGGCCCTGCTGGGCTATCGAATCGGAGACAGACAGCAGAACGGGACGAAATCAAGTGTCTGAGTGGCATCAGTTTTGTTTTGGCTGATTTCACTTCACCGCATGTCCGCCTCGGGTCTACTGCTAATGTGCGTGATGTATCGTAGAGAGGAAACACAGTAAATAGACGGACACGTCCATCTGCAATAAAGAGGAAACGAAGATGGTAATTATGGCTTCACCAAATTTCGCCTCCAAATGCTCGACAGCAATGGCGAAGCCTTCACTCCCCTTGAAGCTCCTTCTCTGGGTATTTATTGTCGTTAATCTCCCTATAAGGTAAGATATTAATGCGTGATATTTTCTCTAGAAATCATGATTTTACGCCGGCTCTGCTGGACAGCATGTTTCTCATTTTAACATCATTTTGCTACCCCTCCCAACCCAACCCTCTTATTAGTGGGATCCTGAAATGATGCTGAGGAATAGGATCCAGTTTTAGTCGAAAAACCAAGTCATGTTATATCACACGTATAAGTGTGATTAGATATGGAGGTGTGGTATTTTTATCCACAGCAACACATGCATCACATTATTGCAAGAAAACCGAAGCGACTAACAGTAACAGACTATAATAAATATGTAGCTGTGGACGAACATTTTGGGGATAAACACTGTAATGTGATCTGTCCAGTAGCCTGTTCTCTCACAATCTGTCCGGCGTTAGAAATAGCATCGTGCCAGGCTAAGTTGAGTGAAGCTAAGGCTACATAGTCTCTGCTAAGCTGTCTTTAAGGATCAGGTCTATTCTAAGAGTCAAAGCGTCATTACTGGACGCATGTGTCGGATGTGGCCCAACTCAGCCTAGATTTCGGCAACTGGTCATTTGTTATAAAGACAACTTGAATATGAATAAAGGTACGTTTCATTCCACGTATTTGGATAAAAAAGCGTTTCAAAATGGCAGACAACCATGCAGAGAGTGCAAGTGTAAAGGCACACTAAGGACAAAGATAACACATATGGAATGATCGTGGCCTTGCGCGCACAAAGGACGTCCATCTCAGCTTTAACGGAGGCACAGATTTGGGTTTGTTGAAAGAAGCTGTTCGGTTGTCCCTGTCAAGACATCAAGATAAGAATAGTAAAGAGGAGTTGGCTGGCGATGCTCTTCGCCTCGCTTTCCGGTTGTGGTGCTGGAGGGTGAAAAATGGAGGCAGATAAATAAGCCGACGTTCAATCACCGTCGTGGTGATCGCAAGCTCAGGGCTCCCTGCCCAGCCGACATTGTAAGCAGTAGTGGTTCCAATATGCTTGAGTAAACACTACACCTGTCCTATTGAAATACATCCAGAATTGAGATCAGTGGGAAGGTAATGCATGTACTGTAAGTGACTGACACATAATGCACTGAGATAAGTTCACAGACAAATGTGAACTCTCTGTGCAAACACCTGTAAGATCACATTTATGGCTCAAAGCTTAGCGATATAAACCCTATATATGCAAACTGTGTGTTGTATATTAATTCACTAAATCTAATTTGTGATTCATGCATGAGACCTCTTACATAAGACATCTCTGAAGGCCTGGGCCATGCATTCAGTAAACTATGCTCTTTATGACTCATTCATAGTTGTAGCTACATTGCATAATATACATTAAGCCTCAGTGCACAGTCAATTACCAGTTCACATCAAAGGCATCACAGCATCATGATGTGGCTCAACACACTCAAGTACAAGTAGAAGAAATGTTTTAACATGTTTTGGCATATACAGTAGTTCAATGAGTTTGGATGATGGGATGGACATGACAAGAGGAAGTGATGTCAGAGCGAGGAAGTTCTCATGCTTTGTTGTTGATGTTTTTTTTTGTCTTGTAAACTTATATCAAACATTTCAGATGACAGTTGAAATTCATTACATAACCACAATCTGGGACACACTACAAATAGTTTTATTCTTCTCTCTTGTAGCTCTACCTGCACTTGAATATTTTTAAATTCTCATTTACAACTGATTGTTTTCATAAAGAATAAAAAAGTTCAGACTTGATCAGCATGCATCTACCTGTACTGTACATTGGTTTGATGAACATCAAATAATATTTTTCAGTTAATGCATTTATCACCTTGCACAATTACATGAAAAATATGCAAAGCATTTAGTATATGCAGCAGGGTGACATTGGCTGTGAACAAGCAAGGTTTTACAACTTCACACCATTTTTGTGTTGTGATTTTGCTTTTGCTTTGTGAATTTAGCTCTATCCCTCATCTAAAATTTGTGTTGAACATATGCAGCTTATGCCACATATTTATGCCAGCAACATGGAATTCCTATTATACTTAGACTAAGTATAAAATATCTTACAACAGACTAATGGTATATGAGCCAGAAGATTGACAACACAGAATCATTTTCGTCTTTGCTTATGTGGGTGATCTTAGTCACCCAAGGGGGGAGAATAAGGGAGAAGAAAACTATGAACTGACTATTTGAGTATTACTGACCACTTGAGGGTATGGCCTCTGTATGGCAGGATGAACAAAGTGCAAACTGGATGGCTGTCATCTCCAGGCTCATGGCCAACGTTGTTGTTTTCTGACTACTGTCACTATTTTTTATAACACTATAACATCATATTCAGCATACAATTAATATAATTATGTTTGTGTATCTTGTGTAGTGTTTTCCCTTTGAACTGTTTAACTCTGTACTTGTCATGACTAATAGAATACAGGCAGACAGGATGAGTAAGGCTGATGTCGAGGCCATGTCAGCAATAAAAGTTGAATATGGTCAAGTTAGCCATGTGGGATGTAATGTTTATCCTAATCTGGTCATGACGACCCTTGTTTTTGGGTCTGTGGGAAAGATATGTAGAAAATTACATTTTAAGGATGTAAGGATGCCTGGGTTCTTTCTCATCATAGAGTGTGTATGTTTATTGTAGGGCTGTGGTGCCCTGTCACTTTATTAAAATAAGGTAATCGTTAATTGTTTGTCATCAGAGAAGTAGAAAAGTACCAAAGAAGATCCAACAGCCATCTGCATTTAGCATATCTTTATATTAAAGGTTTATTAATTAGATATTTTAAATTAAAGTTGTAAAATCATTATCATTTGTCAGGGTTCTGTCCTACCGCTTCCTGTTTTAGGCTCTTATTTTGTCGCCATTTCCTGTTCTAGGTTTATCTGTTATGGTTTCTTTACAGTAATCAGCGCTAATTGCCTGCACCTGTTTTCACCCAAATCAGTAACCTGCCAGATTGTTCTTGACTTCGTGCAGACTTTCCAGCATTATCCTTGCTTTAGTGATTCATGTTATTGACCCTGGATTGTTTCCTGACCTGACTACCAATTTCTGTCTAGCCCTCCTGAGTGTTGAATGTTTCTTCTGTGTACCGACTACTGGACCAGCTGCTTGACTTCCCTTGGCTGTGCTTGTTTGCCGGTATTGACCCTGGACTGTTGTTTGATGTGGATATTGGATTCTGGACTATCACTGTGTATTTTCTGAGTGAATATAGTAAAGCAATATTCTTTACCCCATCTCGCCTGGCTTTGTAATTGAGTCCATCGTTAACATTGTGGGTAGCTTTACTGGCTGACCCTGACAATCATTGATGTCATCAGGTACTTAAACATGAAACTCCAGATCTGCAGAGTCAATTAGCTTGAATATGCTATAGACATAATGCATGAAATGAAGATGGTACATAACAACAATCACAAATGAAGAATAAGTATACTGTAGATATCTATTATCCTCTTGAGCTACTGTAAGTACAGTTTAGATCATGTTGGACAAGTTTCATGAGTCCTACCTGCCAACTGCTGCATTCAGGTTATTCCCAAACAGCATGAATTCTCATCAAATAGCCACTGTTTCATATGATCAAATGGGAAACCTACTGTCCATTGGACTCAGTCAAGACTTCACATTCTTTCAGCCTCTTGTCATCACTTTGGAGGGTTTGGATATATAATTTTGATTACTGAATTCTCTCATGTATGCTTTCATGAATATTTATGTCCCAGATGGTAGCACACACGTCAATATTTTTCTTCCTGTGTTGAGGACAATTTCACAGGACAGTAGAAGATGACAGTCATAACTTGTAGCAGCCTCTTGCTTATAATTTGGAGAATCTGTCATATTTATTACCCAGGCGGCATTAAGGTCAGTGTGATTTCTGATTTCTGGGATAGAGTTGAGAGTTTGAATAAACTGCAGTGGTGATAATTCCTATTCACTCAGCCCATTAAGTACCACAATAAACCTGAAGTAGGGTCAGGACTATTGGCACATAACATGCCTGCTTATTTCCAACCTAAGAAAGTGCGCTCTGATTAAGGTATTTTATTTATGGCCATCCTTGATGCCTCAGTTTTGATAGTTTAGCTTTATCCTGTGAGATTCTGTGGACCGATCTTTTTTGACTACCTTTAAACCAAAAGGGTTTGTGAATCTCTTAAGCTACAAGTACACTGCAGATGTGTTGAAGACACTTTTTTTTACAACTTATCTGCCAATGTTGTGTTCCCCTCCTTTGTATACTTTATGCAGATGATAATTTACTAGACACGTTCACTGTTTCTTTAGGTTTTGACTCGTCATAATTCACAGATATATCCTCATTCATGTAAAGCTCAAACAAGTTAAAAGTAGGATTTGACCCTTTTATCACTCCTTTACTGATAAATTGCCTGTAAATCCACCAAGTCATTATTCATTTTACATCATCTACTATCCAGATATCTTGGTTATAAATGTCAGTATAACACCACATTTAAATAGTCTATGGCCCTTTGAAATGACACACCATATTGGCACCATTATAAATTGGCCTATATTGCAGAAATTATCTCATCTATGTGATCTGGTTTAGACTGGATTGAGTGAAGCTTGTAAATACAGTAGACTGGTTCTCTCTGCCACAGGTCAGATAAGTCCACTAAAAGCTGACAGAGTCAGTGTAATTCTGTATGCGAGTACATTTACTGCAGATGTTGAGCCTGACTGATTACTCAGAAAAACAAGTTACATCCACTTAAAATAATTACAGCTTCTTAATTAGTAAAATGCAGCCAATGTATTGTGTTATTAAAAGTAGTGCTTGTGTAAGGAGCTTTGTAACAATAACATGATGCCAAGAGTGGGTTATTGTGTTGTTGCCATAGGCACAGGACCAATTTCTTGTTGTGTAATAATAAGTATGATGGTTCATTAGATTTGGTGCCTTTATTAGCTGCATTTTAAACCATGATAGCATTATTGCTCAAGGGAACTTGATGTGGATTGGTTAACACACAAAACCACAGAGGATATGGCAGTTTTCTGCTGCTTTACATGAAACCTGAGATGAGATTTTAATTTACATGTGTTAAGTAATGGGGATGAGAGTGTTTCCTGATAATGTGAAGGGTAGAAAATATGAAGCAGATTGTCCTCAATGAGTGTAGCTGGGAACACAACACATAACACTCCATCATTACCTACACAGACAGAGATACAGTGTGTATGCATGAAAATCCAACAGAAACACAAACAGCACACACACTTCCAATACACAAACTTGTGCAGGCCTCTCTGTGGACCTTGAGGTATCAAATTAGTAGGCAAACTCTTAGATCTGCCTGCAGCAGAGAATACATTGCTCTTCCTTTGATCTGCTCGTCTTTGGAGCATTTCCATATGCAGGATGAATACAGATGTGAAAACTGCAGCAACCTAACTCTCAGGTTCTCACGGGCTTCACTGGCCTGTCTGCACCAGAGACAGATGCTTCCTGGATGTTTTAATAACATCATGTGACGCATACCTAAAAGGGTCAGTAAGAATTTTAGACATCGGTGTTGTGGTTGAGATGGATGCCACTTAAAGCAGGCTAAGGAAGACTGCTGGTCAAAACATTTTTCCTTACACCCAGTCTAAGAACACAAGAAAGCTCTCAGGGCTTCTGTCCGTGTGCTTTACCATGGAAACAGTGGGGTTTTTTTCCTCACAATTTCTGAATCTGTATTATTTCATTCAGAAGTCTACTTTCTTGTCATTGCTTTAAAGCCTTGCTGAACGTTCACAACTGTTTCAAGGTTGCACTGTTGTGTTACTGGCTATCTGCCTGATGCTGGTTACTGAAGGTGCTCAGGTGATCTGGAGCCATGACAACTTTAGGATTTGACACAATCTACCTTTCTATCATATTACTTTTTTGTGATGCATTCTGTGCCTAAACAAATCTGTGCTACTTAAACAGCTTCCATCTGAAGCATAACCTGCATGTACTGTAATTATAAAGGCAGGCCTTTCATTGATGCATATCAGGAAGATTTCACAGATAACTGGAGAAATGTGGCTGATTACACATCCCCGTGTCCTTACAGTGTTCAGCTTTTACTCATTTTTGCATCCTGTTTTCTATAGAAACCCTTTTTTCAGTTTTCAGTTTCTATTTACTAACACTAAACACTTTAGGGATTTGGAGTTGTGACTTTGTCAACAACCAGAAGTTAACTTGAGCTGCTAAAGTACTGTGATAGCAACTCTTAATAAGGCAAGTGGATTTGTGGAGCATCATTCAGCAACAAGACAATTAAATGTACTTTAAAGCATTAAGACAACGTATAAAAAAATAAAGCAGTATTAAAGGATATATAAATTGGATTTAAAAAGAGTACATCAGAGTAAAACATAAAAATAAGATTAAATAGGCTAGAACAAACAGCCTAATAAAAAGCCCAGTGAAGTTACAGTGCTGTGTAAGACATGAACGAATACTGCCAAATTTAATTGGCATAGTTCTTGTTAAGTTGAAGGAATGCTATGTATTGTCATACAAGAACTGTTTTCTTTTGTCTTTTCCCTCTTTCTTCATGCACAGAACATGTTTAGGAGGCAATCCCAGACACTGATTGCATAATGAACTGCTGCCTTATTAAATCACTAATTACACACAGATTGTGCTACCAGAAATTCAATGAAAAGATGCAGCACAAATTCAGAGCCTGCTTTATTTGCTTTTTGCCTACAGTCTCTTTCCTTTTTGTTCTGTTCTTTCTGTCACACACAGAGTACAGTACATGCACATCTCAGCCCTGCCCCCTGGTAGTACAAATCTCTCCTCTTATTGTAGATGAACATTATGTAGTGCTACACAGCAAGTCTCCTGACATAGTCCTACTTCAAGGTAACATGTTGTTGTCAGCATATTAATTGCCCATAATACATAATCACTGGAGACGGAATTTCTGCATCTTCTATTTGGGTCTTAAATGTGAAAAAGATCTAGAGATTAAACCTTCACTACAGACATACAATTTACCAAGATCAGACTTGTCTGTGGTAGAGCAGGAACAACATTTACTGCTCCATCAGGGTGGTACCTGTGGTTGGGGGCTCTAGAGACGTCATTATCTTTTCAGTTTGAGATGTCTGAGGTGACTCAGAAAAATAGTGCTTTCAGAGAAATGAGAAAATGAATGTTCTCCGTCACAAGTATTGCACTGAATGTGTAGCTTTTAATGAGTCAAGATAATAATGATAATTTTATTTCACTTTTTTCTATAACCCACATTAGCATTTTTCAGTGATGCAACTACTTTAACAAAAAAATACACTAAATGAAATGGAAGATTATTCACATATCTCAGCGTATCTAGCAATAATGTGGTGATGAAAAGTGCTGAATATTTTCCCTGGTTCATCTCATGACCTTGGTTCGAGATCTTCAAAAGACTTTTTTCTCCCTTTTTGTACTGAAAGCAGAGTTGCTTGCTCGCCTTTTAAAGAAATTATTGATTGCCTGTATTTTTTTCTCTCCTCCCTGTAGCTCCTTTCAGACGGATGACGAAGATGAGGGGTCTAACAAGACGTGGGTGCTGACTCCCAAATTGTATGAGAGTGACGTCACAATAATCCTGAACGGCCTACTAGATGGATATGACAACAAACTCAGACCTGACATCGGAGGTGGGTGCTTATTTTTCAGAAGCTCTATACTCAAAGAAACACAACCCACATTTATGCCCAGAGTACCAATAAAACATATACTGTATGTGCTTATTAACTGACACAGATGCTTATACAGAAGCACCTTAGCCATTTATTGTGGAAAAAAAAATAAGGGCATGATGTCATGTGATTTGTAGGAGGGACAGTTTGAAGACTGGTGCCTGCCATTTATCACTTGATGAAGACAGATAATCTATAATTGTACAGTGGTGTGAAGCCCAGAACCTTTGTCTCTCTCTATATATATAACGAAATATGTCTAGAGATGTCTTGTGGAGAAAGCAGTGACGTTGCAAGAGAGAAGAAGGAAAGGACTTGAGGTGGGGTGAGAGTGGTGTGTCCAATAACTCCTATGCTGTTCCAGGAAACTACGTCGTGCAGCAAAACCTGTTGGGAACAGCTGATAAGCCATTCATCACTCTCTTCAAACACATTATGTCCGTCTCTAAAGATGCACTCTCTCCTGAAGGCACAGGCTGCAAAATCTTCCAGCAATGCTTGATATGGAGTAAGGCTGCAAACTAAGCAGGTGGCTACCAATTAACTCTGGCTACATGCACAATCTTACGGCACTATAGAAATTGGTAGGAGCAGCTGATCAGTAAAAACGGTATATGCTCTCATACTGTATATTTAAGTTAGAACTGAGACAGTTGATTATTAGTTACTTATATTAACCAGTCAAGCCTTTTTATTGAGTGCAATTTTAGTTAAAACTTCTGTGTATGCATTTCTAAGACAGCTGGGCCTTCATCGGGATTCATAGGGATGGTCCGAGGCAGTTCTAAATATGTTTGCAGAGTATGTACAAATGTAGGTAAGAAAATATTGATAAATCTGGATTTGTGTGTGTAAATCATTTGTTCACATGGTTTAAACAGATTTGTCCATATGCACTGTTTATGAATACTTTTTCCTGTTTAAATGACATCAGATTATATCATCTGTTGGTAGTTAATATCAGTTAATATTAATGCTGTTAGGTGTGTGGTAGCCAAACATCATGTTAGTCATGCCATCTGATGCATACCGTACAGCATAGTATATAATATCTCTTCTGAAAATTGTAAAATAAAATAAAAAACTTTTTAACGGCATGAAAGGAGAACAGGAGGCCGGCTGTACAGTAGCCGGATGGCCTGCACATTCATTCACTACATTAATATTGTAGAAATTGAACACAAAGAAGATTTAATGAACAAAGCTTCCAGTTCAATATTATGCCATGCTGGGCAGTACAAAATGTCTGTGTATGTTTGCCAGTGTCCATTCTATGTGTGTGTTTACAAGCAGCTGGGCTTATTATAAAGTACAACAGGATCGAGATAGCAGTCCTGCAAACCTGGTCTTTTCAATATGAGCCGAGAAGCCCGCTCCCTTCACTTCCCTTCAGACAGCTGGACAGGGCACCCTTGTCTACACAATTGCACATATATCCTAAAGCCTGTCACATCCATCTGCAAGAGCAGAATGGGGAGATGCTCACCTCAAATATTTGATTCATGAGTCAGTATTCCTGGAAAAATGGGGTTAAGGCTGAATCTGTTACTTACTCTTACAGAATGATAGAGATGTACCACTCTATACTGTAGCAGAGATTTGCTTCTCCATCGACTGTAATATTCATGCTGAATGGGGGGAAAAACTGGCTAAGGCTGTGTTCAAGCTGCAGACGGCAGGAATAGTTGGGGAACTCGCATCAGCCTATGTCAGAGTTACACTTGAGACAGTTTATATTTGTCTTGTATGCTTAAATGAAGTTTTGTGTCTTGTGGTTCAGTACACCCACAGGAAAAGAGAACATACAACCTACACTCTCAAAAGCGGCAGAAAATATCGACCACTCTTTTAGTATCTCTGCCATATCTGATGAACCAGACTTAATGTTTCATGATGTTTAGGTGTTAAGCTTTCAGTTCATCAGCCACCAACATGTAAACCTATCAAATACTGCTGTAGCTGCTTTCATGGTGTTTACATATACTTCTATATGTACAATATGTACAATGCTGGATATAATGTGATATTTCATGAAGGGCACATCTTTTTTTCCCCAAAACTTTAGAAGTGGGCTTTTGGAATAAAGTGAAAAGCAGTTCAGATATGCTTTGAGGTGCAACTTCGACCCAGAGAGCCACTGTGTGGCTGGGAGGCTGGCTGCCACCATTTCAAACACCCTATGATCTTGCTTTTTCAACATCAGTCTTCCAGTTGCTGCCAAGTTACAGAGCTACGGAGGGGTTATAATTAGCTGGTTATACTGTCGTCTGAACCACCAACTAACCGACCATACCATGTCAAAGTTTTTCCTCCACTCCTCAGAGCATTGAAAGGCTGTGAATTTAGATTCATTGCTGATTAAATCACAGTTCCCCTTTTGAAGTTCATTCATTTAAATTTAATGCCCCTGGAGTTTACTATACATATGAAAACTGGAGCAGATAGGCCAGACATTGAGCAAAAGAGAATATGAAAACCCCTAATTCATAATACATACACGACATTAATCATGGTCACTGCCTTTTTAGAAAATAGTTTCGTAGCATTCACAAATGCTGTATGTAGAGCAATTTCATGAACATAAAGTTATTGTACAGTGAGTTTACTGAGCATGTCTACATGATGGTAATGCACTTGGTGATTTGGCATCCACAGTATGAGCTGCTGTCAGTTGGTCAGCATTTTACCAGGATGTCTGTGGTGGGTGTTACTGGCATAGAAATTTTTAGTACAGCCACTTTATGTCCACTGGCATCTTGAATAATATTTCTTGGCACTTGTTTGTGTATTTATGAAACATACACTTTCCAGTTGGCTGTATAAAATAAGAGAATTCATTTTGTTTTTAATTTTCTATTGCCCACAACTTTATATGTGATTTTTCTCAGTTATACATTTTGTTCATAACACTTTGCAGTATATTTAAATGTTAATGATGCCAATTGTGATAATGTGCACTACTCACTGATATAGCTGGCCAAAAGCAAATTTAATTGTTGATCATGCTATGTCAGGCATAAGACCATTAAGAGCTTTGTGTGTGATTGTATGCGAGTGCAATGTACATTCACGTGTGCCTGGGAGTGACATGAAAAATAGATACAAACCTGCACACACACTACCTCATCTCATCAAGCCCTGAGGGCGGTTGAGTCTTAATGATACCTTCCTCTCAGTCATAACATCCACTCATCCACAAACAAGCACATTACATGTCAAAGTGTAGAAGCTTGTTCAGGCTGACTCCGAGGATCTGACAGAGCACAGGTGTCCATTTGACACTAAGCTGTCCAGTTCCCTCAGCTATAGTTTGGTCTTAGCATCTGGCTGTCCATCTCGCTACACAATCATAGGCAATAGAGACAAAAAGTGTAATGCATGGTAGTGGGCAGATGTACACGTGCACAAGCAGAGATAATCCATTCATATGGAAGAAAACATGCAACTAACTGTGTTTAAAAGGGATTATCCTCAAGTGAAACCTGACATTTGAGAGCTGAGTGCAACTGGTGTTTCACCGGTGTGGCACATTTGTTAGGTGATGTCTTGGGATAAAATGTTTAATCTTGTCAAGTCAGAATGTCTATGAGGCACCGTTGGCGAAAAAATGCACCTCTGTGTGAGTGTAAAGCAAATAAATACCAGCAGGTCTGTGAGGAAAGAGAGTAAATGTTTCACTGTCAAGAGAAGCTCTCAGGCCTGAAGTGTGGAAGGACAGGAGAAGGAATGGATGGGATGCTGCAGAGGGCACAGAGGTATTCTGATAAATGGATCAGGAGCTTGGTTGTAAACACAAGCAAAGTGTGGTTCTCTGACATTGACAGGAAATGTGTTTGAAAAAGAAGTCAGATGTAATCTCAGCACAGACAAAGTAAAATCTGAGCCTAATAAATTCTGATCATGCCAGTACAATGCTGCAAATGTAAAGTGGGATCATTTCAATTAGGTAAATTGAGCATTTATTGAACATACAACCTTTGGCTCATGGACCAGCATTACACTCTGTAAAACAACCAAAATGTTTTAAATTTGAGCCGTATGCGATCAATCAAGTCTTTACTTGGCTTGATTTTTTATGTTAATATTAGTTTACTTCTAATTTCTTTAAATGCTTGCATTCAATTTTGAAGCATTTTGTCTAATTTTTATTTCTTTAAGGTAAAGGATGTTTTTGGTTATTTATTTATGTTTATTTTTATATGAGACCTCAGCTGGTTGTCATCAGAGCTATTGTATTCTATGGATCTTGATATATTTGTCTAATGTTAGGCATTTTTTAAAAATAAGTTTATTATTATATTTCTTTCTACTTTGATTGGTGGTTGCCTGATGCTCTAGTATAGAAAATTGCTTTTGTTAGCTATTGTGAATTTGAAACCTCAAAGATGAATAGAAAATGTTGCATTTCCAGTGAATAGTGCCGACAGTGTGCATGTCTACCACCATCTATCCACTGAAAGCTAACTGAGCAGTGATGTTTTCCAGCAACTTCGCATTCACATCAGGGGAGATTATTTTTGTCTTATTTTTCAGTGATGATGATGATAATTATGATGATGGTAGACTGTACACAACACAGAAAAACACCTTCCTAAAACTTATTATGCAAGTGCATGATAGAACATTGCTCATCTCAAAATTGTATTTCCCTGTGCTTCTTTGCAGTCCAACCAACAGTGATCACAACAGACATGTTTGTCAACAGCATCGGCCCAGTAAATGCCATCAATATGGTGAGTACTGGAAATTGCTGCTAATGTGTCATTGTTGTCATCAATCAGCCTGAAGTTGTATTTATACAGTATCTAAAAGAGAATACCTCTCACCTCCCTGAGGATGGAGACAGGCAAAGAGGAAGTCTCTTCTCTAGAGCTACCCTAGCGGGATACTGTCTTGCTCATGAACACTTAAGCAGGACAAATGCTGTCATGAAAAATTGGTTGGCCCACCTAATCATTATGCTGCCCCACTGCTGTATTAGTGCTGCAGCATAATGCAGCTGTCAGTCAGGTACTTAACAACTGCACTGGCCTTTGCACTACCATGGATAAATGTGGTCCTTTTATTGCATCAGACTGCATTAAACACTTCATATTTTAAATTGGAAAACTGATTAACAGTTAACCAGTTGTGTTGCACAACACAGGGGCCAGATCTCAAAGCAGCATATTTGCAAATGGCTACATACACTGGCAAATCCTAAGATGTTCTTGCTTTGGATTTGCCAAGACCTGCATCAGCTACAGTCTGAGGTGTCACCTGCTCCAGCTCTTTGTGGTTTATACCAATTTGTGATGTGCTGTTCCTTGGATGTGTTTTTTTTTAAGGATTTGATAATTTGCTTGTTTTTTACCATTTATTTTCCTAGTGTATGCTTTTTAATACAGTTGCTAAAGTTGCAATAGAATAACTTATGCTTTTAACCACTTTGTTACTTGTGTTAAAAGTTCAAGTCTTTGTAATATTTGTTATAATACTTTGTACTAAGTTTCAGCTAATATGAGTGAAAGAACTGGTTATTGTATCTGCTTCTGAAAATGATATTGGTGTTTTGATGAGTGTAACTATTTGAGTCAAAGGTGATCACAGACGATCCTGCTCCTTGTTGCTTTTTGATTACCAGTAATAATGTTGCTACAAATATTACATAATACCAATATTAAACAAATACTGTCATGATAAAGTGATGACTAAAATACGGCAGAACAGGTCATCCGAAA